CGTAGTAGTCGTAGTCGCAGTCGTAGCGTCGTCGAAGTAGTCTCGTCGTGGTCGTAGTCGAAGTCGTCGTAGTCGTCGTCGTCGTGCACACGCATTTGCGTACACTTGTAGGCCTATCTCTCTGAGTCTGTATGCATGTAAGCATGTATGGCATTATCACTATGGTATCACCTCTGCGGCATGGCAAGCCCTTGAGAATCAGAGTAATCAACGTCAACAGTGCTTGTAACTGCGGTTGATACTGCTACTTTGACAAGCCATGCATCTGTTATTCAGGCCTTTGCCGGAAATTGCTTTCGTGAAGCCTGAATCCCTGTGAAAAGCGGGAGCTGTGGCTTTTTGGCAGGACTTTTTCACGGAGTCCCTTTACCAGAACATCTGTCCCTGGCACAGTCCAAGGTTCTGCTGAACGTTACAATGCCTTGCAACTTGTTGCATCAGCCTCTCCTTCACTACACAGCCAGTCGGAATTCTGCCGCGATACTTCCCCATGCGATGCCGTCGCCATCGCACGCGTGGGTTTAGCCGAAGTGGGCATATGTTCTCCTGTCTCGAGATTGTCGTGCAGACCCTGTGCTGCTAAGCACTGCAGACATTACTGTCAGGTACCCTTTGCCGTGGAAAGTGTGTAGCCTCTCTTTTGTTGGTTCATTTTCTGAGCAATGCCGAGATATGAATCGGGGCCTAAGGCCACAGGTTCCTGAAGCCCTTGAGCCCTCCTCAACCTGTCTAGTTACAGAGGTTGAAGGCTCGAAGACTTTTGCGCTTCAGGTCGAGGCCTCTTCGAGAAAGATAAGATTCTGTTCTCCTTCGCCCTGTGCATCCGGATCATGAAAGGCCACAGAAAGCAAGTCCCTTGCAAAAGAGGCTTTGGTTTTGCTTAAGGGTGGATGGCACCGAAACGAGTGAGCAGGAGCTTATTTTACAATGAGCTCAGCATGAAACCGGCGAATGCGCTCTCCGGGCTTTGGATCCCTCAGTTTCTGTGTCGGCAGGTGACAACCGGATCGATGACAGCGAGCTGCGCCCCTCGGAAGCAGTAGGAGGCGTTGCGGAGTTTCTTGCTTGAGTCGCCTCCTAGACATTCTTCTCCGAATTGTTTCGTCCTGGTGGACACGCCACCTGATGCGATTGCAAGCATGATTCAGCAGTGTCTGCATACATACATGTACAGTGGCATACATACAATAATTATGCTTATGTATACAGAAGTATGTAGGTATGACGGATGGATGGGATGGATTTTGGGTTGGCTTGGAATGAAATGGGTGGATGGATGTGCGTACATGCAGACCATATTTCCTGACATGCCTACACATCTGTATCTGTCTGTACACATGTATGTACGTACGTGTAGGTAGGTATATAGGCATGTATGTATGTATGTATGTATGTATGTATGTATGTATGTATGTATGTATGTATTTATGTATGTATGCAAGTATGGATGTATGTACATGTGGTTGTTAGTATGTTAGTATGTTATGTTATGCGATGTACGGATAGATGCCTGCACGGACGGACAGCGAGAGCGATAGCGAGATGGATTGTCATGCTGGCTTTTCGGGTTGATGTTTTAGCAGTTTAGGATTTCCTCCTGCTGATTTTCCACAGCATGCGCTCAGGATATCTCCTGGTTGGGCCCACTGCCGACATGTTGGAGAAGGGGCCCATGACCGCGTTTTGGCCCTGAACCCGTGGAATTGCACAAGCTTCAGCCTTCAGCCTCGGGTGCCTAGAGAAGTGCGGCAGCTGACACAAGAAACGAGAAGTGGAACTGTGTTGCGAGTGATGTGGCTGCAGGATCCCAGCTGATTGGGCGCCCGCCCGAGTTGAAAACTTGAGAAACTCGAACCGAGCCGTGGCGTGTTCACGGTCGCAGCTTTTTGGATTTGCATGCGGTAAGAAGCTTCATCCATTGCCATTGGCGCTCTGAGTAGGCATGCTTCGCGAAACTGCAGAGTTGCTGCAGGTTCCTTCATAGTCTTGCGGCGGGTCAGTATGCTTGGTTTGTGGTTCCGCGAGGTACAGCAGTCAGATTGAACATGCCGCCACAAGAAAGATGTTGTGGAAGTCTTCCCTGTTTTCACAGTCAGTTACGATAACTAATGATAATTAATGCATCGTACAACCACGAGGTTGGACCTCAACGCTGGAACGAGATCCTGACGCTGAGTCGCCTATCGGCTTTCTCAGGCCTGGGAAATGCGCACCCGCTTTGACGAGGTGTGGGTGCGGGATGTATGACTCTAGCGCACGATTTGGGGTTGACAGGTTCATCGCTTGCATGGTTCAGGATAGGAGCCCTGCAGACGGCTAGGTTTGCGGCTACGGGGCCGCATATGTCCGAAGAAAAAGATTCATGAAATGGCCTCTAGAAATGTATGCATGTGTGTATATGTTTTTGCACAGAAAAGGATGTGTGTGTGCGTGTGCGTGTGTGTATGTGTGTGTATATATATATATAACTGTATAGCTGCAAGTATTATATACATGTATATATAAATATGCACATGTTTTGCTCAGTCCTTCTGCAACCAGGCCCCTCTGCAATTTTCATGCTGAGAAAGTTTTGACCTGATCGGGGTGATGATTC